CTGCCGTAAGGCTCGCTACCCTGATTTGCATTGGCCCTCAGAGCCAGGGTCAGGGCCCCATTGCCTTCGGCTCTGTGCTGCTGTGGGAGTTGCAGCAATATGCAGGAATTGCCAGGCACCGGACAAACCTACCGGATCAAATGAAATAACTGGCAGCCATTGCCTAGCTTGGCCTCGTAACAAACCCAGCCGAGAGCCGTTTCCCATCCCTGCTGCAGCCTGATGGTGGGAGCTTAGCCCCAGAAGAGGATCCGGCGAAGCAGATCCTTTCAGAACCCATTGGATATTTATGTTCCGCTCCCTTTGAGTCCTGTTGAAACAGCAAAACCCTGGAGCGTTGGCAGTAGGGTCGCTGCTGTTCGAAGGCAGCGCTGCACACGGCGAATAGATACCTGCAGCCCGGAGCGGATGCAGAACAAACAGTTCTGCCGTGTGCTAGAAAGAGCAGCTCCTGGCCGTCTCTGCGAGGCCTAATGGAAAGGGCTGTGCTGCAGAGGGAGGGGATTGGAGAGCTGAGCACCTCAGGAGGGGACTGGATGAGAGTTTTTCCCTCTGGAGACTTGGATTTAAGAGTGGGTACGCCCCACGTACAGCACGAATGCAGTGGGCTCAGATCCCCGCTGAATGAATGGCTGCCCACATCTCGGCTACAGGAAAACTACCGTTCGCAGTGCACGCGTTCCTGGTCCCACCGCCAATGGCGAAATCCCCAAATACTAGCCGCTGCGGCTCCAGGCCCCGCAAGGAGCTCTCTGCAGCTCCCAAACTCACTGCAGGGGTTGGGAGCCATGGGGAACTCAGCTGTGGCTCCCCCCAGCCGCTGAATGAATGGCTGCCCACATCTCGGCTACAGGAAAACTACCGTTCGCAGTGCACGCGTTCCTGGTCCCACCGCCAATGGCGAAATCCCCAAATACTAGCCGCTGCGGCTCCAGGCCCCGCAAGGAGCTCTCTGCAGCTCCCAAACTCACTGCAGGGGTTGGGAGCCATGGGGAACTCAGCTGTGGCTCCCCCCAGCCGTGGGCCGCCCCCCCCGGCCCTCCGCCCCCCCCCCCCCGCGCCAGGCCAGGCCAGCCCCGAGAATACACGGAACTGTGAACAATGATTCTGCAAGTCATGAGAGTCTCCCGTACTGGACTGTTGGTGTGCTGGAGCGTCTGCTTGGGAGCAGCCTAAGAGAAGGGTTGGCAAGGTGACGGTGCAGGAGGGGATGCCTGAGCCAGTGCGATTACCGGCTGTACTAGCGAGACAGGGAAGGGCTAAAACGGAAATGGAAGACCACGTGCTGGGCGTCGGGGGGAGGCGTTGTAGGGGAAGGCTGCAGTCAGTGAGTGTGCTGGAGGTGAGGATCGGGCGAGATTGGTGAAATAGGACGGGGAACACTGGCATAGTGCCAGTCTCCATGGCCTCTTGCTTTTGTCTGACATGGCCATTGACATAGAAGTGATAATCGCCGAGCTAGCCAGGATCACACCGTAGGGCCAGATCTCTGGTTCAGCCCTGCTTTCCGGTGACCAGGCTGGGAGAAGCAAACTCCAGAATCGGTGGTTTAACTTGGGCCAGGCTTCAGATCAAAGCAAGTCTACAGGAGCTCTCAATCCGGCACGATCCAGATGTTCTGCTGTGAGCAAGTCACTTCGCCTTGGTGCCTGCCTCGCCCTATGGGTGGTAACAGTGACTTGCATTAGTGCCAAAGATGGGCTGGTTCTGACACCGTTGCTCTCTGCTTCTCCCTCAGGCATGAGCTACCGAGAGCTGGACGAGAGGCTGGAGAACGATCCCAACATCATTGTTTGCTGGAAGTGAATCTCTCTTGGGACGGGGACAGGCAGCGTCCTGCCGCGTGGAGAGAAGAACACGGGGGCTGGAAGGCGGAGCTGGTCACCGCTTGGAGATGGCTCCAAGAGCCCAGACTGTGGCTCTTTCAAGTGACTGGGCTCCTGTGGGGGAGAGGGGGGTGGCGTATTTCCGCTAACGCTGCTCGGAGAGCAATTGCATTGCTCCACAATAGCAAAGCATGGCTCCGGCATCTCAGTGCAAAGCGTGTGCGAGCCAGCTGGCTTCTGCCACGTGCCGCTGGTATCATCGGTTCCACGGTGTCTGGGCCAGCCTTGGTCGCGCACGAACTCGTCACCGCTGTCATGGGAATTGGAAGGTGTTCAGTTGGGGCGCAGAGACCCCCACGTGGGGACCAGCCTGAGTCTGTGTGTTACAGGGAAGGGGGGTGGTTTCCACTCTCAGAAGCACGGATTGTTTTGCCTTCTCTGTCCCTAGACGCTTTCCCCGCAGCCCAGTGAGGCTGCCCCGATCCAGCAGCAGAGGGGGCTGTGGGAGCGGAGTAGCCGGGTTCGGTAAAGGGGGCTCCGGGAGAGGAGTGAGTCAGTGGCAATAAAACTGATCCAATGGCCTTTGAAGCGTCGGTGCATTCCCAGCGCGGTGGCGGATGGAAAGTGGGGGCGGGGCGAGGGCTGGGCGGGGGGAGGCGCTGCCCCGCCCCCCG